TAAACTATATAAATTTTAACTACTAGTAATTTTCATAAATCCTTAGTAACCTAGTGGAAAGTAAAAGTTTTGGTATTTTAAAATGTCCTTTGTTTGAGGCATGCCAACGACATCCCGATAATTGTTTTGTTTTAATTTATCCCTCATAAGTTCTAGTGAGTCATGGGTCATGGGCCGTGGTCTCGTGGGCTCGAGGACCGTGGACCAATAGGCTGGGGATCGACGCTAATCGGGCTGAGTCGCTAAGTGACGCTTTATAAGGCGTACTTTGCACTTAAACTATATAAATTTTAACTACTAGTAATTTTCATAAATCCTTAGTAACCTAGTGGAAAGTAAAAGTTTTGGTATTTTAAAATGTCCTTTGTTTGAGGCATGCCAACGACATCCCGATAATTGTTTTGTTTTAATTTATCCCTCATAAGTTCTAGTGAGTCATGGTTAACTACTAGTAATTTTCATAAATCCTTAGTAACCTAGTGGAAAGTAAAAGTTTTGGTATTTTAAAATGTCCTTTGTTTGAGGCATGCCAACGACATCCCGATAATTGTTTTGTTTTAATTTATCCCTCATAAGTTCTAGTGAGTCATGGGTCATGGGCCGTGGTCTCGTGGGCTCGAGGACCGTGGACCAATAGGCTGGGGATCGACGCTAATCGGGCTGAGTCGCTAAGTGACGCTTTATAAGGCGTACTTTGCACTTCGCACGAAGACATCAGGGCTAGGTGGCACCACGTTGGCTGCCACTATGGCTGCCACGAAGGTCGCCTCGCAGGTTGCTTCGCAGGATACAGACGAGTTTCGCATTCACACGATGGTGCGACCTAGTGTTCTCGAGATCAGACGACGCTCCTCTATTTGACGAGGTTCATCAATTTGACGAGACTAGTTTGGTTGACGAGGTTCGCCCGTTCGACGAGGTTCGTCTTACTGACGATGTTCTTCTGATTTGCGAGACTCATTTGATTGACCCGTTTGATGAGGTTCGTCTAATTTGTGAGACTCATTTGATTGAACCATTTGACAAGGTTCGCCCGTTCGACGAGGTTCGTCTTACTGACGAGGTTCGTCTGATTTGCGAAACTCGTTTGTTTGACGAGGTTCTCCGACGAAGTTCATCTTACTGATGAGGTTTGTCTGATTTGCGAAACTCGTTGGTTTGACGAGGTTCGCCGGATCGACGAGGTTTGTCTGATTTGTTGCAAGGTGCAACGTGACCTCCACGTTCAGGCGTTACTGCATGCAGCAGTTACAACAGTATTTAAATCAATTGTTGTTACAATCATAATAATTTATAACAATCACATTGATTGTAGGTGACTCTTGAGCTGGCCTTAGAGGTCTATAAATAGTGTCTCTTGAGGAAACTCTTGGTGAGCTTTGGTATACCCACAAAAATACATTAAGCTGTTGTATTGCTGCTAGTGCAGAGCCTGTGCCCCGAAGGAACTGTTGTGCTGTTGCTACTATAGAGCCTATGCCCGAAGGATTTTTGCCTAAACCGAAAGGTTTAAGAGATCGAGGAGATCATTGCCTTGACCGAAAGATCTTATAAATCGAGGAGATATTGACAATACTTGGTTGGTGCACACCATTGTATTGTACTGCTGCTCCTGGAAGCAGTTTAACCTTGGGATCCTTACACCGGAGTAGGCCAAATATTGCTTCAAGCACAACGTTTCATAAACACACAACAGTTAAATTAAAAAGTTTAAAATTACAGCACATCAACTTTCACTGTTTTATTTCAGATGTAACCACAATCTCCAACAAAAACGTGGGTAAATGGGGAATGTTAGTGGAGGATTCAAAACATGGGTAAGTGTGAAGTCAAAAGAATGTACGAGTAATGTAATTTTTATTTTTATTTTTTATTTTTTAATTCCCCCACCCCCCCTATAAAAATTTTTAAATTCTTTAAGCTGCAAGGACATCATTGGGTTTGCAACAAATGTGACCAAGTAAGGATATAAACACCAAAAAAGGATCCAAAAGGCGGGCTTCTCTTAATAAGTAGTAATAGATAAACAATTAGTTTCGTCCAGCAATCTGCGCAAAGTTTTGGTTGGAAAAAGTTGGAAATGTCTTGACACTTTCCTAATATTGATAATACTACTTACATAAATAACAAATGCTATGTTAAATTATCACTGTCTAAACAGATATTTTAAATAGAACAACGATGAGCTTTTTTTGAAGAACCCTTTTTATAAAATAAAAAAATATAAATGTATATTTCCGTATACACAGTGCATAACCTTCGTGTATGTCACCCATCGTATACGCTGCTGTGTTTATCTTATTGAGAAGTGTGAGCCTGTCCAAAGTGGCAAAGTTGCCACTTTAGAAGGACTGGGAAGGAATTAGAAAGGGATGAGTCATGAGAGAGCTTCAACTTCAAGGGGGGATGGAAAGATGCGCGCAGGGTTAAAGAGTCGAGGCCCGGTGTAATGAAATTTTCACAAGTGGCAGCCGGACAGTTTGGCTTCATCCTTATTCATTTCATCTGTCCATTTTACTGCTCTTGGCATTTACCATTGGCTTTTGATGATTCAAATATGTCTTTGTTTGATATTAGAAATAGATATTCATGTAAATGGAGGTACTCTTGAAAAAAAGTCTACTTTTGCATTTTAACACTGTAACAACTTGTTATTTGTAGAGATGCCTCTCAAAAGGGCTAAAATACTGCATTTGTATTTTTTTTTGTTGGCCCCTTTAGATACATTGGTTTATTATTTATTTTTTACTACGGCGACAATTTAGTAATTTTTTTGACCTTGAAGATCAATTAGGCTCAAAAGTTAGACGCGACGAGACAAATTTGAAATTAGTCCTTCAAATCTTCACTATTTTGATATTAGCCCCCAAATTATTAAAAATCTAAAAATAGTTTACCAATTTAACTTAATTATAAACCCAAACTCATCTCCAACTCTCTTCTTCACAATTTTACCCAAACTCATCTCCAACTTAATTATATATATATATAGGAGTCTTACACATCTATCAACTTAAGTATAAACCCAAACTCATCTATCATCTATCAACTTAGGTATAAAATTGTTGAAACCGAGTCTTACTCATCTATCATCTCCAACTCATCTATCAACTTAATTATAAATCCAAACACATCTCCAACTTAATTATAGATATAGATTTACCTTATTATCAATTTTACACCCTTTCTTTGTAAAAATCAAAATTATATTAGAATAGGAATAATTACATAATATATTGAGAAAATTTGGATTTGTTCATCCCCTCTGACATAATGATAGAGATGTCATTCTGAAATAAAGATTGAAAAACAAATCTAGATAATTTTTGAATGTTGGTATCGTTTATAGAAGACTTGCAAAATCTAGATAAGTTTCAACCGTTGGGGCAACCGTTTGGATAGAGTCATTCAAACGGCTTCTGTCCGAACAGTTATAACCGTTTGGAACCGTATTTGCCCAAACGGTTCCATCCATTTGGAATGCCATGTTTTGTACTAGTGCTTGCTTGGAAAATGTTAAAATCTTTTTCAAAAATATAATTTATATAAATTTATAATGAAATACATGAATGTGGATACAAGTGGAATAATAGTAGAACCGCGATTATTTGGGAATTTAATACATTATTTAAAGAAAACTGATGAAAATCATAATTTGGTGACACTTTGTTAACAGATGCATACTATCATAGTGGTTTTGTCAAATTTGGAAATTCCGTAATCATTATCCAAGAAATCATTAAGTTTTGTGATTGTTTCTTTAAAATAAGATTTAAAAAAAAAACCATTTTAATATGTTCATCTAGTGCAAGCAAGGCGGCATCTGTAAATTAAAAAGCAAAGTCCTGAGGTGCAAATAAGGAATTTAAAAGGTGAAACCTCCGCAACGCAGTACCATAGTATAGGGGCCTAGCCTAGGAGTAGGCTACTAGTAGTAGCAGTAGACTAGTAGGGGCCTATAAAAACAATCACGTGACCGCAACTGATAATGCTGCCATGCCTTACAAAGTAAACAAATTAAATTCATCCCCTCTCATTAGGTAACAACATCAGTACCCTCAATTGCAAGGGGAAATAAGAGAGAGAGAGAGAGAGAGAGAGAGACAAACACTAGTGGAACAGTAGAGAGCTGAAGCTGAAATTTGATTGTGAGAGCCCAAAGAAAGCCTGCACTTCTCCTCTCTGGGCTAGCTTTTATAACT